ACCATGACAATGCAAGCTCTCATACACTGACCCAAACCAGGGCCTTTTGAACCGATCAAATTGTGTCATGCCCAGTCCTGACTTGAAAAACAAGCTCGGTCGAAGATGTTCGTGAAGTTTTGGATCGATCTCCCAATCGAAGTGAAAAATATTAATTCCACCATGGTAGCTCTCCTAGAAAAAAGCCGTTATTTCTGGCACACTCTGTAACTCCATTGATCTTCGATTACAACCAGAGAGAGAAAAAAAGAAAATAACAGCAAATAAACTATAAATTATATCAAATATGACCCCCCGCAACTCCGACCACCACCTCACTTTATATCCGAGAGTGTTTTGAATTGGCTATTTTATGACCAACATGCACAAACACATTTAAACATGCTGTTACCAGTTTTAAATATTTTTATGTTTTGTTTTTTTTTCTTTCCGTAGCAACGTCATGAAATCCATGTTGTTGTTTTTATTTTTCTTCTTCTTGTTTTTATTTTCTTTGAATGGTCTTTTGTTGGTTGGTCTTCAACAGACACAGAAATGGTCCGAGTAGCAAAAGAATCTAAACAACTACCCGCAAAGACCCCAAAAACAACAACAACAACGACAGCTTCAACAACACTCTTTTGTAATGCCACAAAACGACATCGACAACAGCAACAACACCACCAATAATAATAACAATGGTAACAACAAAAACAACATGAAACCATTTGGAAAACAAGAAATGCAACAACAACAAAGCCCCAAATCTATTTGTCGATGGTTTAGCCAGCAACAAAATGCCTGAAGACTAAGAAATGAAACAAAGCAAAGAAGCCAACAACAACTACGACAAAAACAACAGTTACAACTAACAAACAAAACAAGAAAAGAAAAGTTTAAACCGTCTTTTGTTGTCATGGCCATGGTCGGTCGAAACGTGGCCAACATCAACAGCATTGACTGAGGCAATGTTAGGAGATATGGGGACATGCGTACAATGGGTTGTTGTGATATGGTTTGAAATAAAATGAATTTAAACATGTAAAGGCCCCCCATTAAAATCGGCCGAACTTTTTATACCATCCACCTGTATCGAATAAATATCAAGGCCTAGATTTTTATACCCTACACAACTATGTTGTCAGGGTATTATAGCTTTGTGCAGTCCCAAAGAGTTTGTAACACCGCGAAATATTGGTCTTAGGCCCACCTTTAAATATACTGATCGTCATATCTCGACTAGCTTAGTCGATCTAGACATGTGTGTCCGTCTGTCCATTATAATTTATAAACACGATACAGGCCACAGTTATGGACCAATCTTCACGAAATTTTGCATGTAGGATGGGTTCTGGCCTGAAGACCCCTATTGTTTTTTGGTAAAGATCGGTTAATATTTAGGGGATGAAATGGACCAAATATATAATTTTTGTCCGTTTTTCTGGTCGCTCAAGAGGCCGCAATTATGGAGAAGGGGATAGGGCCACAGAATAAGCATGCCTTTTTAGACCCTGCACCACACTGTGGCACAGGGTATTATGTCTTTGTGCATATGTTTGTAACAGGCAAAAGGAATCGAGATACACCCAGGGTTCCTTTTGAGAATATGCGTCTGTCCGTCCGTCCGTCCATGTATTTTTTTGAACAAAGTACAGGTCGCATTTATGAACCGATTTGGATGAAATTTGGCATAGGTCACTTATTTGGCCCAAGGACGAACCCTATTGAAATTGGGAAAAATCGGTTCCCATTTAGATATAGCTCCCATATATATTTTCGTCCGATTAAATGTAAATGGTGCACCAAAGCCCCTATATCTCTCTCTATTTGCACGAAATTTGGCACAACGTACTGAATTGAGCCTAGAGTGATGTCTGCTAAGTTTCCTGAAAATCGGTTCAGATTTAGATGTAGCTCACATATATATCTTCGTCCGATTTAATGTAAATGGTGCACCAAAGTCCCTATATATCTTTCGATTTGCACAAAATTTGGCACAGCGTTCTGAATTAGGTCTAGAATGATGTGTGTTAAGTTTCCTGATAATCGGTTCAGATTTAGATATATTTTCTCCCATATATATTATCTCTCGATTTGCACGAAATTTGGCACAACGTAATGAATGGTGTAGAAAGTGTGTTATTATATTTCGGTTTGCATATATATTTTTGGCACAGCGTAATGTCTAAAATGATGTGTGTTAAGTTTCCTGAAATCGGTTCAGATTTAGATATAGCTTCTATATCTGAACAAATGAAAAATTTAGTATCGGTTGCAGAATGACATGTTTATGGATGAAATTTCATTTTACTGGTCCTTTAAAAATGCGATGTCTGTTAGGGTTCATCTGTTGAATATACCCAAAGTTGTGGAGGGTATCATACAGTCGGCCCCGTCTGACTTTTCTTACTGGTTTGATAAGGATCGGTCAATATTTAGGGAGTCAAATGGATCCCGACTTTTGTGTGAAAAATTACAAAATTTATATTCTCCCATGAAGGACAAGGGCCCGAGAAGTTGATAGCATATCCAAAAGGAGTTGCTGGCCTTTAAATTGATACCGATTATATTATTGTTCGTATGTACTCGGATGTGGGAGTTACAAGATATTATTTAGCAACTCATTACCACACTAGAGGGCGGAAATATAGCGCTGATCGCTTTGAAATTTTCCATGAGGAACCAGATATGGTCAAGGACAACGCCTATAATTTTCGGTGATGATCAGATAACAATATTGGGATGAAGTGGACCGAAAACTTAATTTTTGTGTTTTTTAGCGTCGATATATATGCCACAATAATAAGCCCAACATCACAACACAACCCACGGTGAGGGGAATCTGGACAAGTATATATATTCGGAAAATATGTCAATGTGAGGAAGAAGTGCTGTTGGCCTCTTTAGTGGGGCAATAGGGTGCAAATATCAGAAATATTCCCCAGGCTCGGAATAAACATCAGCAAAAAGTTAGAGTTCCATGATAGCTGTGTAGGGTATCGTATGGAAATTTTCCATGAGGTTCCAGTTATGGTCCAGGACAACGCCTATAATTTTCCGTAATGATCAAGTAATAATTTTGGGATGAAGTGGACCGAAAACTTAATTTTTGTGTTTTTGGAGTCGATATATATGCCACAATAATAAGCCGAACATAACAACATAACCCACGGTGAGGGGAATCTGGACACGTATATATATTCGGAAAATATGTCAGTTTGAGGAAGAAGTGCTGTTGACCTCTTTAGTGGGGCAATAGGGTGCAAATATCAGAAATATTTCCCAGGCTCGAAATAAACATCAGCAAAAAGTTAGAGTTCCGTGATAGTTGTGTGGGGTATCGTATGATCGGCCCCGTCCGACTATACTGGTCCGCTCACTGGTTTAAAATTTATTTTTCAAATAATTATCAAGGCGTGCATTTTTTAAAATTTATTTTTCGAATAAATATTAGAAATATGTTTTTTTAAAGTAAAACTCTCTGGCCATTTATATCAGGACCTTGTGTCCTTCTATAAGCAGACACTTTGGCCATGTACATAAGGCTCTCTTCTATAAGAAAACCATCTGACTTTTTACAAAAAGATCTTCTGACCTCCTATAAGGACACTGTAACCTTCTATAAGGACCTTGTAACCTTCTATAAGAAGATTATCTGACCTTCTACAAAAAATACACTGTGGTCAAGACCCTCTTATCAGATTATCCCTATTCCTTTTATAAGACGACTTCTAGTATTATCTTCTAACCAAAAACAGTGGTGCTTCAGTTTCAACTTTCTCTTAACTATTAGGAAATTTATTTGGCCATGACACCAATATTATTTATTCAAACATTAAAGTTTACTTCGATTGCCAATAAAAACATATTTCCATTATGTAATTATTTAATATGCCTCTAAGTATTCAATTTCAAATTGAGATATCCTGAATCGCCCAAGACAGGGAACTAACTAATGGAAACAATGACGCAATTCGTATCTTAAGTCACTTAACGAAATAAACATGAGTCAAATCCCCCCATTCATAAGAAAAATGGCGCCCAACATACTAACACTAATTGGAAATCAAATTTTAATTCAAAATTCAATTACTTCCTGGGCAAACAAACAGAGACTCACAAATAATATTCTTGGAGTAGATTTAATTAGGCATTCCGATGACAATTTTTTGTGTGTATAGTCGTGGTCATTAAAATAAAAACAGAAACTAAGAAAACAAAACCAAAAAATCATTACTATGCCAGAATATACATAAAAAGGAAAATTATGGAATTTTTTTTTTTGAGTTGGGAAAATTTCAAACAAATAACTGCTTACTTACCAGGTTCTGTAGAGGAAAATCTGAAAAGAAAGAAAATTGAATTGAAATTATTTTAAGGTAAACTTTTTTATTTATTTTTTTTTAGAAATGTTTTTTTTTTTTAATTATTTTTCAAATAAATATCAAGGTGTCAATTTAATTTTTTTTTTTTTTTGTTGAATATTAATGCGGTAATTTTTAATTTTTTTCGTAGTGTGTGGATTTTTTAAAAATTATTTTTTTTTTTTCGAAGTTACTTTTCGAATACAAATTTGATCAGCACCAACCCATTGTGCCTGAACGTTGTACGTACGTTTTGGCACAGGTAAAAGTTTAAAGAAGTGGCAAGCTTATAGCGGCGGCCTGGATAGCTGGCTGGTTGGCTAGCTTACCAGCAGCGCAACTCAAGAGGCTAAGAGCTCAGCTAAAAGCCGTAACATCAACGGTACATTAAATGTAAGTCAGACGTTCGACTAAGAAGACGTTCAAACGAAAACGAAGCGGATTTCGAATTCAAGAAAAAAAAAAATAAAACAAAAACCGAAACTAATTTAATACAGAAAAAACTAAGCCAAGCAAATGAAATTGAATTAAGAAAGAAAAATCGGAAAACAATTAGAACGAAAGTGTTTTTTATTAGAAGAAAGAAATTTTGAACGAAAGAAAAAGTGCAAAAATATTGGAAAAACAATGTGGAAATTTAAAATAATTTATTTATTAATGATATTAAGCATTTTCCAATTAACGAATGCCAATGGCAGTGATTTGAATAAAAGTGATGATGACGATGAAAACCCTAAACATGAAATTCAAAATCTAACAGAACACGCAAGGACGGGCAGAGTTTTGAAATATGCCCGTCCCATGTTTACCCTGAGGAGAAGACAACCAATACAAAAAATACGCTCTAGGGCAGATCATTTCCCATTGCGACCTCAACTGAGAAGGGTCCACAATGGGGTTTTGCCCGCTAGCCAACAACCACAACAACAACTGAGATATGGCTATGATTCGCTGAAATCTTCGAAATATATTAATTCTAAGGGAGCCTTGCCCTATGGAGCAAACATAAAAGGTAGCTCCTCTCCGTCACTGAAACAACAGCTATTGGGTATACATCCAAATGGTTTGCAGGTTCCGGCTCTATCACATCAATATGTGCAAAATTTCAAGGCCTCTCCAGCATATAATGGCCAGGTGGCAATACATCCACCGCCAGTTCCGGTAGCTCAGCAGGCAACAGGAAATAAGCCGCAGAAGCAACAATCGCCACCATCACCCCAACAGCAGCAGCAGTTGCAGAAACAACAGCAACAAAATCTAGACAATTCATATCCCAAATACGTTAAGCCACCACAACAGCAGCAGCAACAACAACAAAAATTGTCACCAAAACACCAACAACAACAACAACAGCTGCAGTCTATAAAATCCAGCCAATCAGATCCCGCAATGCCATATCCTGATTTCAAACAGTATCCCATACCCGACCAACAACAAATGCAAAAATACAACGAACAGCATGACAAATATTTACAACAACAAAAATATCTAACACCCAGAGACCCGGTGGCCTACTATCAGCAGCAATACCAGCAGCTACAGCAACAGCCTCAGTCCCAACATTTCTATCAGCAGCATCAACAGGCTGCACAGCCATCATATTCCGGTCAACAACCTGCCTATTCTGCCCCGCATCTCAAACCAGTTCAACAGGCAACAACTTTGCTACAGCCGCAACCACAACAACAACCATCCATACCCATACATGAAGTTTCCGAGGTGGCACAGCCAGGCTTTAGCTCCGCAGCCAACAACAACAAACAACAGCAGCTGCAGCCACAGGCACCAACAGTTGCCTCCTATGGCCCCAGCAGTCATGCTGCACCAGGAAAAATGTATTCCGTCTATGAGGAGAGTGATATGACCGAGCTGCACAATAATGACTATCAGACAGCCCAATTGGATAGCTTGGAAAAAGAGGCCCAGGAATATTTGAGATTCATGAACACGAATGAATATTTTTTGCCCAAACGGGATCCGAACTACAAGCAAATCGATGAGGAAAATGATCGCAGGCAACAATTGAATTTACAGCAGCAGCAACAACATCAAAGTGCCCTCAACAACTATGGCAGCTCTCAAGCATCCTCAGTATCCTCCTCCGCTACACAATACCAATCCTCCCCACCAGCCTCACAATATTACCCACAGCAACAGCAACAAATCTATTATGGCCATCATCCCGACTCTTCGGTGGCAGCATCTGGATCTGCACCTTCCTCTTCACTATTCAAGGAACCCATACAAGTTTCCAAATTATTCTATCAAGATGAAAGCAACTCCAATGGTGCTGGTCCCTCAACTGTGGTTCGGACCAGCTATCAAACTGCCTACAATTCGAAACATTTTGGTTCCCAAGACAATAGTAACAACAACAACAACAAAGTTCCAAAATATTTACAACAACAATCTACTCTGACTTCCCCACCGCCACCCGTCAGTGTCAACAATGTTTACAGTCAAGTTCGACAATCCTCGGCATCATCATCATCGTCGTCACAGAGTAATCGCACTCCCGAACCCTTACGTTTTGAATTTACGGAACGTGATGCCATGGTGGGTGGTATTGCCTATACGCATGCTCCAAAGTCGCAATATAAATATAAGGCAGTCGAAGCCCCAGTTACACCCAGGATAACGATCCAGAGTAACTTCCAAACATCGGCAACAGCAACAACGGTACTGCCAACCTCAGCATATGTGGGTAGCAGTATTAAGCCCATAACTGAGGTGGAGGATGACCCAGAGGATGGTGATGATATGCAAGAGGCGGGATCGGTAAGTCTGGGGGAAATTGTATTAAAAACATATAATTAAAAAGTCCACAGCTCTATTAAAATATAATTTTACAAATATTTCAAATTTTGAAAAATCCACTCAATATTTATTCGAAAAACAATTTTTGAAAAATCCACATCTCGATATTTATTCGAAAAATAATTGTTGAAAAAAATGGAAAAAAAAACATATATATATCTGAACCGATTTCAAGGAAACTTTCCAGAGATTAATTTATATTAACTTCAGTTCGTTATGTCAATCGGCCAAGCTATGGATCTTAAGTGCACCATTTACATAAAATCGGACGAAACTATATAAGGGAGCTATATATAAATCTGAACCGATTTTCACGAAACTCAGTGCACATCATTCTAGACTTAATTGAGTACGCTATGCCAAATTTCGTGCAAATCGAAAGATATATAGGGACTTTGGTGCACCATTTACATAAAATCGGACGAAACTATATACGGGAGCTATATCTAAATCTGAACCGATTTTCAGGAAATGCAATACCCTATGCCAAATTTTGTGCAAATCGAAAAATATATAGGGACTTTGGAGCCCCATTTACCTTAAATCGGACGATAATATATATGGGAGCTATATCTAAATCTGAACCGATTTTCACGAAACTTAGGGCACATCATTCTAGACTTAATTGAATACGATATGCTAAATTTCGTGCAAATCGAAAGATATAAAGGGACTTTGGTGGACCATTTACATAAAATCGGACGAAACTATATATGGGAGCTATATCTAAATCTGAACCGAGTTTAATGAAACTCATCACACATCATTCTAGGCCTAATTCATTACGATGTGCCAAATTTCGTGCAAATCGAATCATATAAAGGGACTTTGGTGCACCATTTACATTAAATCGGACGGAAATATATATGGGAGCTATATCTAAATCTGAACCGATTTTTCCCAATTTCAATAGGGTTCGTCCTTGGGCCAAATAAGTAACTTATGCCAAATTTCATCCAAATCGGATCATAAATGCGACCTGTACTTTGTTCACAAAATACATGGACGGACGGACGGACGGACAGACGGACATGCGTAAATCGACTCAGAAAGTGATTCTATGCATATTCTCAAAAGGAACCATGTGTCTATCTCGTTTCCTTTTGCCTGTTACAAAAATATGCACAAAGACATAATACCCTGTACCACAGTGTGGTGAAGGTCAAGAGCGTGCAAATATTGTTGTGACGGCCACGAGGGTGCAAATATTGTGAAATATTGGCGAAGCTCAGAATAAAGCACCACAGAAAGTTAGAGTTCCCTGGTAGTTGTGTAGGGTATCTTATGGTCGGCACCGTCCGTCTTTACTGCTCCGCTCACTGGCTTTAAAAATATTTTTTATGAGGGCGTGGATTTTTTAAAAAATATTTTTTATCTGAGTGCAGATTAAAAAAATATGAGGGCGTGAATTTTTTAATATTAAATATTTTTTTAATGAAAATCAGGGCTTGAAAATTTTACTTAAAAAAAGTTAATATCCTAAAAATTTTTTATTTTTGTTTTCAGCATATTTATGGACGTCAGCCGCTGCTGAACAAAAACAAAGACAGCAAAGTTGGCAGCAGTACCACCACAACGGAGGAACCACCCAGCGAACAAAAAGACACTGAGGAATATTGCGAACGAATTTGTGCCATTGTCGAAGATGAAAACGAAGAAATTGTGTGCGGCTCCGATGGCTATATGTACACCAGTGAGGCCCAAATGGAATGCTATGCCTCGTGTTTACGAATTGGTAAGTCACAAATTTTTATTGTTTGTTTTGACAAAACAAAACGAAACGAAACGCAAAAAACACTTCAAAATGACACTGACCTCAGGGTGGGCTGCCTGCCATGCAAATAAATGCATTGGGTGAAAAGTGTGTAAATTATGGTCAGCAAACTGGGTGTGTAAATACGTGTGTGTACATTGTTTTGAGAAAGTGTTGAATTTTTATTTTTTTTTAATTATGCATTTTGTATTTAACTGAAATTAATTTGTGAACTTTTTTGTTTTTGTTTTGCCTTTTTTGCAGATATTACGATACAGGGGAAAGGTTCATGCTCAGCGAGATAAATGTGGCAGAATGTGAGGCATTCTTCTAAATGTTGCATTAATGTTGCAACAAAAGAGATCAGAGCATCTATGTTTAACTCAATTAGTGAAATAATTTTAATTTATTTTAGTTTGTAATGTTTGATAATTTAAGTTTAGATTTATATTAAAAAAAAAACAAACAATTATTTATTCGATAAATATATAGATAAATAAAAAAATATTTAAGATATTATATTTAATTGAAATAAAAAATATTGTTTAATTTTTAGTTATGAAAACAAAATTATTATTACAGGAAAAAAATCGAAACGCCAAAAATAATATTGGCTTCGAATTGACTTTTCATAGACTCAGATTTTTGTATAATGGTCTGAATGTCCCATACTACCATTTTATTGGAACGTGATTATTAAAGAAATTCCAAGTTTCAATTCGATTTCAGATACGAGAATTTAAATGCCAAAAACGTTCACTCGCTTATCGTTTGTCATTGAACCATTGACCTCAGTACAGTATTTAAATTTGTATACAGAGGAGGTTAACTGAGGATTTTTATACCCATCACCACACTGTGGTACAGGGTATTATGTCTTTGTGCATATGTTTGTAACAGGCAAAAATAATCGATATAGACCCATGGTTCCTTTTGAGAATATGCATAGAATAACTTTCTGAGTCGATTTATGCATGTCCGTCTGTTCATTTTAAATTGTAAACAAAGTACAGATCACATTTATGATCCGAATTGGATGAAATTTGGCATAGCTCATTTGTTTGGCCCAAGGACGAACCCTATTGAAATTGGGAAACATCGGTTCAGATTTAGATATAGCTCCCATATATATTTTCGCCCGATTTAAGGTAAATGATGTACCAAAGTCCCTGTATATCATTAGATTTGCGCGAAATTTCGCACAGCGTAATGAATAAGGTCTAGAATAATGTGTGTTAAGTTTCGTGAAAATCGGTTCATATTTAGATATAGCTCCGATATATATCTTCCTCCGATATAAGGTAAATGTTGTACCAAAGTCCCTATATATCTTTCAATTTGCACGAAATTTGGCATAGCGTACTGAATTGTGTCTATATTAATGTGTGCTAAGTTTCAAGAAAATCGGTTCAGATTTAGATATAGCTCCCATATATAGTTTTGCCCGATTTTAGTTAAATGGAGCACCAAAGTCCCTGGAAATCTTTTCATTTGCACGAAATTTGGCATAGCGTACTGAATTAAGTCTAGAATGATGTGTGCAAAGTTTCGTGAAAATCGGTTCAGATTTAGATATAGCTCCCATGTATATTTTCATCCGATTTTAGGTAATTGGTGCACCAAAGACCCTATATATCTTTCGATTTGCACGAAATTTGGCATAGCGTACTGAATTGTGTCTATATTAATGTGTGCTAAGTTTCATGAAAATCGGTTAAGATTTAGATATAGCTCCCATATAAAATTTTGCCCGATTTTAGTTCAATGGTGCACCAAAGTCCCTGGAAATCTTTTCATTTGCACGAAATTTGGCATAGCGTACTGAATTAAGTCTAGAATGATGTGTGCAAAGTTTCGTGAAAATCGGTTCAGATTTAGATATAGCTCCCATGTATATTTTCATCCGATTTTAGGTAAATAGTCCACTAAAGTCCCTGGAAATCTTTTGATTTGCACGAATTTTGGCATAGCGTACTGAGTTAAGACTAGAATGATGTGTGCAAAGTTTCGTGAAAATCGATTCAGATTTAGATATGGCTTACATATATATTTTCATCCCATTTAAGGTAATTGGTGCACCAAAGACCCTATATATCTTTCGATTTGCACGAAATTTGGCATAGCGTACTGAATTGTGTCTATATTAATGTGTGCAAAGTTTCATGAAAATCGGTTCAGATTTAGATATAGCTCCCATATATAGTTTCGCCCGATTTTAGTTAAATGGTGCACCAAAGTCCCTGGAAATCTTTTCATTTGCACGAAACTTTGCATAGCGTACTGAATTAAGTCTAGAATGATGTGTTTAAAGTTTCGTGAAAATCGGTTCAGATTTAGATATAGCTACCATGTATATTTTCATCCGATCTTAGGTAATTGGTGCACCGAAGTCTCTGAAAATCATTAGATTTGCACGAAATTTGTCATAACTTTCTGAATTGTGTCTAGAATGACGTGTGCTAAGTTTCGTGAAAATCAGTTCCGATTTAGATATAGCTCCCATGTATATTTTCTCCGACTTTATGTAATATATCTTTCGGAAAGTTTTCCTGGAATCGGTTCAAATATACATAGATATATAACAAAAACGCGACGTCTGTTAGGATACATATACCCAAAGTGGTGAAGGGTATCATATAGTCCGCCCAGTCCGACTTTACTACTTTCCTTACTGGTTTTTTATAAAAAATAAAAAAACGATTTTTTATGAAATGTCAAAGCTTGGATTTTTTAAAAATTATTTTTCAAGAATTATAATGGCGTGGATTAAAAAAAGTATTTTTAAAGAATTATCAATACGTCAATTTTTTAAAAATTATTTTTTGTACAATTAACAAGGCGTGGATTTGTTAAAATTACTTTTCCGGAAACAAAATGTATTTGCTTATATCATTAAAAACGCATTATTTATCTATTATACCGGATGATAACATGTGCAGAACTTATACTTAGGTTATTGTCCCTCAATTTCGTAAGAGCGTCATAAAAAATTCTGCGACAATGGATTATCTGGGGTTCGCTACAAAAACAAAAAATACATTTTTTGTAGGTAGCAGAGTAGCTTGAACTGTAGAGGTATTTCAAAACAGCATTCAGTTCAGAACGAAATGGTGACTAAGACGGTTATAACTGGTGGTTGGATTTTGCTGACGTTTATCATCAGCGCTGCTCTAAGTGAAGTGCCAAAGAATTCAAAATTATTTGTTGAAATTGCCAATGGAGTGCTGAAGGGCAAGGATAATAATGGTCGTTTTATAAGTTGGGAATCGGTGCCATATGCTGAAGCCCCCGTGGGAGAATTACGCTATGAATTGCCACAACCATACGGGCAAAAATGGAATGTCACGTTCGATGCCAGCCAAAAGGCTCCAGCCTGCATGCAATGGGATCAATTTGTTGAGGGTAAGAATAAAGTTCATGGCTCGGAGGATTGCCTCAAGCTTAATATCTACAAACCCCTTGTGAAGGATGAGAAAAAATTACCCGTTATGGTCTTTATACATGGTGGCTGTTTTATGTTTGGTGGTGTTAATGTCAATCAACCGGATGTCCTGATGGCTAGTGGTAAAATAATGTTGGTCACCATTGCCTATCGTGTGGGTGCCTTGGGTTTTTTGAGTATGCAAGATGAAGGTTTACCGGGTAATTTGGGTTTGAAAGATCAGCGCTTGGCTTTGCAATGGATTAAGGAAAATATTGTCCACTTTGGTGGCGACCCTAAGAAGATCCTGCTCACCGGATTTTCAGCCGGAGGAGCCTCAACACATTTCCACATTTTACAAAGGCCAGAGGAAAATGTGGCCAAGGCTGCTGTATCCTTTAGTGGTGTGGCCTTGAATCCCTGGGTAATTATACGCAATCCACGGGGAAGAGCTTTGAAACTGGCACAACATTTAAATTGTCCTCAGCGGAACAATGGAGGGGAAATCAAAAATTGCCTCAAACAAAGACGGGCCGAAGATATTGTGGGCGGTACAAAACTATTTCAAAATTTTGCCTATAATCCATTCACCGTGTTTGGACCGGTAATAGAACCCCAACACATCCCGGGGGCATTTCTGACGCATCATCCCATTGATATTGTTAAATCGGGAAATTTTACACACATACCCTGGTTGGCTTCGTATGTCTCCGAGGATGGTGGTTACAATGCAGCCGAGTTGATGTTGATAAATCCTCAAACTGGCAGGGAGTTGATGTACGAACTCAATGAAAATTGGGCTGAATTGTTGGCCACAAATCTTTTCCTCGACAATATAAGTGAACATCCCGTCGAATATGCTCGCCAATTGAAGGAGAAATATTTAGGCCATCTTCCATTTTATCCGGAAAATTATGCACGTGTTTCGGAATTGTATACGGCGGTATTGTTTAGTGACGGCATTTTAGATTCCCTAAAATTACATCGCCAGTATTCCCATGCACCAGTTTATGGTTATGTTTACAATAATCCAGCAGATTTCAATGTTGGCCAGGGTTTATCCAAACGTACAGATGTGAATTTTGGTAAGATCTCACATGGGATGTTCATTACCTAGAACAAAAAAATTAAAATTAGTTCTCTTCATTTATAGGTACTGTACACATGGATGATTTATCATTAATCTTACCCACTAGCTCTCGCAGTCCGCCAAGGTCAGATGAGAAACGTGTTAGCCAGAATTTCATAGAAATGTTGGTCAATTTTGTGGAGAGCGGGTAAGTCTTAAAATTTTTTTTTCATATTCTCATAAATTATTTAATGGCCCTCTCTCTCTCGTCATTTATTTTCAGAAATCTCTGCTATGACCATTGCGATTTTGCCGACAATAGTATTCAAAATTCACCGTATTTATTCCTTACATCCATCACCGGAGATAATTGTGAAAGTGTGGCCTTGAAAGTGTGACACTTAAAAAAACAGCTAAAAATAAAGACTGATTAGAAAAATGTAAATTTTTTTGTAACTATTTCTGAGGGTCTTATAATTTTTATACCCTTCACCACACTGTGGTACAGGGCATTATGTCTTTGTGTATATGTTTGTAATAGGGAAAAGGAAACGAGATAGACACATGGTTCCTTTTGAGAATATACATAGAATCACTTTATAAGTCGATTTATGCATGTCCGTCCGTCTGTCCATGTTAAATTGTAAACAAAGTACAGGTCGCATTTTTGATTCGAATTGGATGAAATTTAGCACAGCTCATTTATTTGGCCCAAGGACGAACCCTATTGAAATTGGAAAAATCGGTTAAGTTTTTGTCCGATTTAAGGTAAATTGTGCACCAAAGTACGATTTGCACGAAATTTGACATAGCGTACTAAATTAATTCTAGAGTGATGTGTGTTAAGTTCCGTGAAAATCGGTTCAGATTCAGATATAGCTCCCATATATATTTTCGGCCGGTTTTATGTAAATGGTGCATCAAAGTCCCTATATATCCTTCGATTTGCACGAAATTTGACATAGCGTATTAAATTAAGTGTAGAATAATATGCGCTTAGTTCCGTGAAAATCGGTTCAGATTTAGATATAGCTCCCATATATATTTTAGTCCGATTTGCACGTCTCTGAAATTTGGCATTTGGCATAGCGTACTGAATTAAGTGTACAGTTATGTGTGTAAAGTTTCATTAAAATCGGTTCAAATTTAGATATAGCTCCCATATATATTCGTCCGATTTTATGTAAATGGTGCACCAAAGTCCCTATATATCCTTCGATTTGCATGAAATTCGGCATAGCGTACTGAATTAAGTCTAGAACGATATGTGTAAAGTTTCGTAAACATCGGTTCAGATTTAGATACAGCTCCCATATATATTTTCGTCCGATTTTAGGTAAATAGTGCACCAAAGTATTTTTATATCCTTCGATTGGCATGAAATTTGGCATAGCGTACTGAATTGAGTATAGAATGATGAGTGGTAAGTTTCGGCAAAATCAGTTCAGATTTCGATATAGCTCCCATATATATTTTCGTCCGATTTCGATGCAGCCATAGCTTCTATATGTATTTCGAACGGCTACCTGATTGAGATTACATTTTTAACAGTACGACGTACCGAATAGTCTGTATCAATTTTGCTATAAATCGTTTTCCATAAATTTGTGTACGCAGACGACTCTAAATCTGCCGGAATGAAATTAAATTTAGCATAGGTTGCAGAAAGGCTTGAGTATGTTCCTTCGAGGGAACATTGACATGCAATTGTAAGGATACATGTGTATGTACAATATACCCAAAGTGGTGAAAGGTACCATATCTTTGGCCCAGTCCGACTTTATTACTTTCCATACTGGTTTAAGCATACTTTTCAACATCCAAAAGGTTTACATTTCTTAAATTGTTTTTCAACATCCTTTAATGGGGTATTTTAAGTGAAAGTGAAACACATGAATCTTCATAAATTAGACAATTATTTTTAAGTTTCACACATATACAAACACCAAAATCTAGATCTGTCAATGCCCGTAAGAATATATTTTGGATATTGAATTTCCAAAAAAAAACCAGAATAATTTATACGCATCAACGACCCCATAATCGACACAGTGACTTACAGCTTCAAAGCAAACGGTGGGAACTGTCGAATGAATGAGCTTTAATAGCTGTTATATATATGTCAATCGTTCGATAATTAATGCCCATGGAACCTGTTAGGCTTAGGCTTAGGTGTGGAAATTAATTAATAAATATAAATAAATACAAGCGTGTCTTCCGTGTATCAATTAGTCAGTGCTTAGCATTCAAGGGGAGATCATCAGAATGGAATTACGTTGTAGTGTCGTGTCGATTGTCAGTTTGACTTGTCTTCTTCTGTGTATGGGTGTCAAAAGTCAATTCCTATTTGATGATCTTCTACCACCATTGGCACCAGCGGCTGGTGGTCTACAAGCAACAAGTTTCGCAGTGGGTAAACCTCCCAGAACACCCAATACGGAAGATCGTAACAGTATCCGGCAAACCGTTGCAGATGGAGCTGGCAGTGGTAGTGTGGTTGTGCAGACCCCTTATGGCCCCGTGAGAGGCAAAGAATGGGGTATGTACTTCAGTTGGGAATCCATACCATATGCCAAACCTCCTGTGGGAGATTTACGTTTTGAAGATCCCCAACCGTATGATCAAATATGGACGTCGGAATTCAACGCTACTGTCTTTCCACAATACTGTATGCAATGGTATCGGGATCATGGTGTCAATAAACTTCGTGGTCAAGAGGATTGTTTGACCCTGAGTATATACACCCCCAAACCGAGAGGAGTTCAATATCCCGTTGTGGTATTTCTGCATGGGGGCCAATTTATGATGGGTGGTGGTCCAGAATTTGATCCAGAACCCTCAATGATGGGTGGTCGTTTTGTTATGATCAAAGTCAATTATCGTCTGGGGCCATTGGGTTTCCTGAGTACCGCTGACCCCACACTACCCGGTAATTATGGCCTAAAGGATCAACTTCTTGCTCTGCAATGGGTTAAAGAAAATATTGCTGCCTTTGATGGAGATCCAAATAAAATTGTTCTCTTGGGTCATGGGGCTGGGGCGGCTAGTGCCCACTTACATATGCTGAGACCATCATTGGCGAATATTGCCAAGGCGGCAATATCAATGAGTGGTGTGGCCTTGAATCCCTGGGCCATCATTGCCAATCCACGGGAAAATGCCAATCGCTTGGCCAACGCGGTGAATTGCCCCACCACCAAGGGTAGCCAGGCACTGAAAACTTGTCTAAAAAGTCGCAATGCCACAGATGTAGTAAATGCCGTACAAACCCTCCTGAATTTCGGCTACAATCCTATGGTACCCTTTGGCCCAGTCGTGGAACCTGCCAACGCACGAAATGCTTTCTTGACCCAACAGCCAGAGGCCATAATAAAATCTGGACGTTTCAGCCACATCCCTTGGCTGGCATCGTATACCAGTCATGATGGCAACTTCAATGCTGCCGAACTTTTAAGAATTAATCCCCAAACTGGAACGGAATATATCAATGAATTGAATCAAAATTGGTTAGATTTGGCACCCCAAAATCTCTTTCTACGGCACATCAGTAGTGATCCCCGTAGCTATGCTAAAGGACTAAAGGATGCCTATTTGGGGGATGATGAATTTTCGACAAAAACCTATAATGAAGTGGAGGCAATGTACACAGATGTATTGATGAAAATTGGTGTCCATAAGGCGATGCAGCTGCATAGTCGCTACTCCAAGGCTCCCGTTTATGGTTATATTTATGATATACCATCGAATTATGCCATCGGTTATGATTTAGCCTTGAGAACGGATATACCTTTTGGTGAGTTGAGAGATATTTGAAAATTTGTATTAGGAAAAATTAAACAAGATGCAAAAAATCGACCTTGCGGCTTTTTCAAATCCAATCCAAACAAGGATTTTTAAAAATATTATTTCCACAAAAAATATTTTTTTGACATTCCATACAAATTAAATTTTTTTTCGTTATCCCAAACATTTAAAATTAAAAAAAAAATATTTTTCAAAAACCAAAAATGGCATGGACTTTTTAAAAATATTTTTCAACATCCTATAATTTTAAATAATTTGTTTCATCAACTAAATTTCAGGCGCCAGTCATTTGGATGACATAACACTGCTGCTGAGACCCGTTTTCCGCAGCACCGCCAGACCAGATGAGGTTGTGGTATCCCAGAGACTGGTGAACTTGTTGGGTGATTTTGCTGATTTTGGGTAAGCTAGCAGACCACAATTAAATTTTATTACTTTTTTAATTTAATTTTATTTTGTTATTCCCCTCAGTGGCCTCTCCTACGGAACATGTAATTTTGAGAGAAACACTGCAGCCAATGCGAATAGCTTGAGATTGTTACGGATTAGAAAGGATTCGTGTGAAACTGTTATACAGGATGTCTAATGCAGGATTAATAAAATACAAAAAAAAACTTAACGATCTATTTTGTATTTCTCCTAGACTGAGAGGCTGCTAGACTTTCGAATTTGTAAAAAAAAGAATTCTGATAATAAATTATGTACGAACAAGAAAAAAACATGAAACCCGTCTGGCATTTGAATAAATTATTAAAGATATTGTTGTTATACTTAAATAAATGAAACTAATCATAAAAAACAATGTTGTAAACAAATTTGAAGATTATTTTAAATGATCTTTTAACATTTGATTTGATCAAAGTAATGGGTTCGAAGCGATTCATATTGAAACTTTAATTTTCATGTTTTCGTAATATCCGGTTATTTGATTGTGCTTTAAAATTTGTCACTGTGTAACGAACTAAATATGAATAGTGTTGACAATTTGTCACGTTCTGAATAATATGTATCTCTAAAAACTCGTTCTTAATACAACAGGTGTAAAGTTGTCTCACGACTAATTAATAAACATCGTTAATATGGCATAATTTTATTTAATCTCTTAGCATAACTTAACTTATGTCGATCTTGCCATTGAATATTTAAAGGTCATGAGCTCGGAGTATCGACAAAAACTGGAAAGTGTAATAAGAAAAGAAAAAACAAGAGCGTTTCTGGCTTAGCACATATCGACAAAACTGTGAGATACATAAAGGCATCTCACATTAATAAATTCCGATCAAAAAAGGAATTAATTCCGTCTTTAGTTTATACAGAATGAAAATAATACAACCACTTTAAATATTTTAAGTACAATTGAAAAAAATATTCTTTAAAAAAACCACGCCTTGTATTAGTCCCTGAAAAAATATTCTTTAAAAAATCCACGCCTTGTAATCGTCCATGAAAAAAATATTCTTTAAAAAAACCACGCCTTGTACTGGTCCTTGAAAAAATATTCTTTAAAAAATCCACGCCTTGTATAAGCCTTGAAAAAATATTCTTTAAAAAAACCACGCCTTGTATAAGCCTTGAAAAAATATTCTTTAAAAAATCCACGCCTTGTATAAGCCTTGAAAAAATATTCTTTAAAAAAACCACGCCTTGTATAAGCCTTGAAAAAATATTCTTTAAAAAATCCACGCCTTGTATAAGCCTTGAAAAAATATTCTTTAAAAAAACCACGCCTTGTATAAGCCTTGAAAAAATATTCTTTAAGAAAACCACGCCTTGTATAAGCCTTGAAAAAATATTCTTTAAGAAAACCACGCCTTGTATAAGCCTTGAAAAAATATTCTTTAAGAAAACCACGCCTTGTATAAGCCTTGAAAAAATATTCTTTAAAAAATCCACGCCTTGTATAAGCCTTGAAAAAATATTCTTTAAAAAATCCACGCCTTGTATAAGCCTTGAAAAAATATTCTTTAAAAAATCCACGCCTTGTATAAGCCTTGAAAAAATATTCTTTAAAAAATCCACGCCTTGTATAAGCCTTGAAAAAATATTCTTTAAAAAATCCACGCCTTGTATAAGCCTTGAAAAAATATTCTTTAAAAAATCCACGCCTTGTATAAGCCTTGAAAAAATATTCTTTAAAAAATCCACGCCTTGTATAAGCCTTGAAAAAATATTCTTTAAAAAATCCACGCCTTGTATAAGCCTTGAAAAAATATTCTTTAAAAAATCCACGCCTTGTATAAGCCTTGAAAAAATATTCTTTAAAAAATCCACGCCTTGTATAAGCCTTGAAAAAATATTCTTTAAAAAATCCACGCCTTGTATAAGCCTTGAAAAAATATTCTTTAAAAAATCCACGCCTTGTATAAGCCTTGAAAAAATATTCTTTAAAAAATCCACGCCTTGTATAAGCCTTGAAAAAATATTCTTTAAAAAATCCACGCCTTGTATAAGCCTTGAAAAAATATTCTTTAAAAAATCCACGCCTTGTATAAGCCTTGAAAAAATATTCTTTAAAAAATCCACGCCTTGTATAAGCCTTGAAAAAATATTCTTTAAAAAATCCACGCCTTGTATAAGCCTTGAAAAAATATTCTTTAAAAAATCCACGCCTTGTATAAGCCTTGAAAAAATATTCTTTAAAAAATCCACGCCTTGTATAAGCCTTGAAAAAATATTCTTTAAAAAATCCACGCCTTGTATAAGCCTTGAAAAAATATTCTTTAAAAAATCCACGCCTTGTATAAGCCTTGAAAAAATATTCTTTAAAAAATCCACGCCTTGTATAAGCCTTGAAAAAATATTCTTTAAAAAATCCACGCCTTGTATAAGCCTTGAAAAAATATTCTTTAAAAAATCCACGCCTTGTATAAGCCTTGAAAAAATATTCTTTAAAAAATCCACGCCTTGTATAAGCCTTGAAAAAATATTCTTTAAAAAATCCACGCCTTGTATAAGCCTTGAAAAAATATTCTTTAAAAAATCCACGCCTTGTATAAGCCTTGAAAAAATATTCTTTAAAAAATCCACGCCTTGTATAAGCCTTGAAAAAATATTCTTTAAAAAATCCACGCCTTGTATAAGCCTTGAAAAAATATTCTTTAAAAAATCCACGCCTTGTATAAGCCTTGAAAAAATATTCTTTAAAAAATCCACGCCTTGTATAAGCCTTGAAAAAATATTCTTTAAAAAATCCACGCCTTGTATAAGCCTTGAAAAAATATTCTTTAAAAAATCCACGCCTTGTATAAGCCTTGAAAAAATATTCTTTAAAAAATCCACGCCTTGTATAAGCCTTGAAAAAATATTCTTTAAAAAATCCACGCCTTGTATAAGCCTTGAAAAAATATTCTTTAAAAAATCCACGCCTTGTATAAGCCTTGAAAAAATATTCTTTAAAAAATCCACGCCTTGTATAAGCCTTGAAAAAATATTCTTTAAAAAATCCACGCCTTGTATAAGCCTTGAAAAAATATTCTTTAAAAAATCCACGCCTTGTATAAGCCTTGAAAAAATATTCTTTAAAAAATCCACGCCTTGTATAAGCCTTGAAAAAATATTCTTTAAAAAATCCACGCCTTGTATAAGCCTTGAAAAAATATTCTTTAAAAAATCCACGCCTTGTATAAGCCTTGAAAAAATATTCTTTAAAAAATCCACGCCTTGTATAAGCCTTGAAAAAATATTCTTTAAAAAATCCACGCCTTGTATAAGCCTTGAAAAAATATTCTTTAAAAAATCCACGCCTTGTATAAGCCTTGAAAAAATATTCTTTAAAAAAACCACGCCTTGTATAAGCCTTGAAAAAATATTCTTTAAAAAATCCACGCCTTGTATAAGCCTTGAAAAAATATTCTTTAAAAAATCCACGCCTTGTATAAGCCTTGAAAAAATATTCTTTAAAAAATCCACGCCTTGTATAAGCCTTGAAAAAATATTCTTTAAAAAATCCACGCCTTGTATAAGCCTTGAAAAAATATTCTTTAAAAAATCCACGCCTTGTATAAGCCTTGAAAAAATATTCTTTAAAAAATCCACGCCTTGTATAAGCCTTGAAAAAATATTCTTTAAAAAATCCACGCCTTGTATAAGCCTTGAAAAAATATTCTTTAAAAAATCCACGCCTTGTATAAGCCTTGAAAAAATATTCTTTAAAAAATCCACGCCTTGTATAAGCCTTGAAAAAATATTCTTTAAAAAATCCACGCCTTTTATAAGCCTTGAAAAAATATTCTTTAAAAAATCCACGCCTTGTATAAGCCTTGAAAAAATATTCTTTAAAAAATCCACGCCTTGTATAAGCCTTGAAAAAATATTCTTTAAAAAATCCACGCCTTGTATAAGCCTTGAAAAAATATTCTTTAAAAAATCCACGCCTTGTATAAGCCTTGAAAAAATATTCTTTAAAAAATCCACGCCTTGTACAAGCCTTGAAAAAATATTCTTTAAAAAATCCACGCCTTGTACAAGCCTTGAAAAAATATTCTTTAAAAAATCCACGCCTTGTACAAGCCTTGAAAAAATATTCTTTAAAAAATCCACGCCTTTTATAAGCCTTGAAAAAATATTCTTTAAAAAATCCACGCCTTGTATAAGCCTTGAAAAAATATTCTTTAAAAAATCCACGCCTTGTATAAGCCTTGAAAAAATATTCTTTAAAAAATCCACGCCTTGTATAAGCCTTGAAAAAATATTCTTTAAAAAATCCACGCCTTGTATAAGCCTTGAAAAAATATTCTTTAAAAAATCCACGCCTTGTATAAGCCTTGTATAAGAAAAAATATTCTTTAAAAAATCCACGCCTTGTATAAGCCTTGAAAAAATATTCTTTAAAAAATCCACGCCTTGTATAAGCCTTGAAAAAATATTCTTTAAAAAATCCACGCCTTGTATAAGCCTTGAAAAAATATTCTTTAAAAAATCCACGCCTTGTATAAGCCTTGAAAAAATATTCTTTAAAAAATCCACGCCTTGTATAAGCCTTGAAAAAATATTCTTTAAAAAATCCACGCCTTGTATAAGCCTTGAAAAAATATTCTTTAAAAAATCCACGCCTTGTATAAGCCTTGAAAAAATATTCTTTAAAAAATCCACGCCTTGTATAAGCCTTGAAAAAATATTCTTTAAAAAATCCACGCCTTGTATAAGCCTTGAAAAAATATTCTTTAAAAAATCCACGCCTTGTATAAGCCTTGAAAAAATATTCTTTAAAAAATCCACGCCTTGTATAAGCCTTGAAAAAATATTCTTTAAAAAATCCACGCCTTGTATAAGCCTTGAAAAAATATTCTTTAAAAAATCCACGCCTTGTATAAGCCTTGAAAAAATATTCTTTAAAAAATCCACGCCTTGTATAAGCCTTGAAAAAATATTCTTTAAAAAATCCACGCCTTGTATAAGCCTTGAAAAAATATTCTTTAAAAAATCCACGCCTTGTATAAGCCTTGAAAAAATATTCTTTAAAAAATCCACGCCTTGTATAAGCCTTGAAAAAATATTCTTTAAAAAATCCACGCCTTGTATAAGCCTTGAAAAAATATTCTTTAAAAAATCCACGCCTTGTATAAGCCTTGAAAAAATATTCTTTAAAAAATCCACGCCTTGTATAAGCCTTGAAAAAATATTCTTTAAAAAATCCACGCCTTGTATAAGCCTTGAAAAAATATTCTTTAAAAAATCCACGCCTTGTATAAGCCTTGAAAAAATATTCTTTAAAAAATCCACGCCTTGTATAAGCCTTGAAAAAATATTCTTTAAAAAATCCACGCCTTGTATAAGCCTTGAAAAAATATTCTTTAAAAAATCCACGCCTTGTATAAGCCTTGAAAAAATATTCTTTAAAAAATCCACGCCTTGTATAAGCCTTGAAAAAATATTCTTTAAAAAATCCACGCCTTGTATAAGCCTTGAAAAAATATTCTTTAAAAAATCCACGCCTTGTATAAGCCTTGAAAAAATATTCTTTAAAAAATCCACGCCTTGTATAAGCCTTGAAAAAATATTCTTTAAAAAATCCACGCCTTGTATAAGCCTTGAAAAAATATTCTTTAAAAAATCCACGCCTTGTATAAGCCTTGAAAAAATATTCTTTAAAAAATCCACGCCTTGTATAAGCCTTGAAAAAATATTCTTTAAAAAATCCACGCCTTGTATAAGCCTTGAAAAAATATTCTTTAAAAAATCCACGCCTTGTATAAGCCTTGAAAAAATATTCTTTAAAAAATCCACGCCTTGTATAAGCCTTGAAAAAATATTCTTTAAAAAATCCACGCCTTGTATAAGCCTTGAAAAAATATTCTTTAAAAAATCCACGCCTTGTATAAGCCTTGAAAAAATATTCTTTAAAAAATCCACGCCTTGTATAAGCCTTGAAAAAATATTCTTTAAAAAATCCACGCCTTGTATAAGCCTTGAAAAAATATTCTTTAAAAAATCCACGCCTTGTATAAGCCTTGAAAAAATATTCTTTAAAAAATCCACGCCTTGTATAAGCCTTGAAAAAATATTCTTTAAAAAATCCACGCCTTGTATAAGCCTTGAAAAAATATTCTTTAAAAAATCCACGCCTTGTATAAGCCTTGAAAAAATATTCTTTAAAAAATCCACGCCTTGTATAAGCCTTGAAAAAATATTCTTTAAAAAATCCACGCCTTGTATAAGCCTTGAAAAAATATTCTTTAAAAAATCCACGCCTTGTATAAGCCTTGAAAAAATATTCTTTAAAAAATCCACGCCTTGTATAAGCCTTGAAAAAATATTCTTTAAAAAATCCACGCCTTGTATAAGCCTTGAAAAAATATTCTTTAAAAAATCCACGCCTTGTATAAGCCTTGAAAAAATATTCTTTAAAAAATCCACGCCTTGTATAAGCCTTGAAAAAATATTCTTTAAAAAATCCACGCCTTGTATAAGCCTTGAAAAAATATTCTTTAAAAAATCCACGCCTTGTATAAGCCTTGAAAAAATATTCTTTAAAAAATCCACGCCTTGTATAAGCCTTGAAAAAATATTCTTTAAAAAATCCACGCCTTGTATAAGCCTTGAAAAAATATTCTTTAAAAAATCCACGCCTTGTATAAGCCTTGAAAAAATATTCTTTAAAAAATCCACGCCTTGTATAAGCCTTGAAAAAATATTCTTTAAAAAATCCACGCCTTGTATAAGCCTTGAAAAAATATTCTTTAAAAAATCCACGCCTTGTATAAGCCTTGAAAAAATATTCTTTAAAAAATCCACGCCTTGTATAAGCCTTGAAAAAATATTCTTTAAAAAATCCACGCCTTGTATAAGCCTTGAAAAAATATTCTTTAAAAAATCCACGCCTTGTATAAGCCTTGAAAAAATATTCTTTAAAAAATCCACGCCTTGTATAAGCCTTGAAAAAATATTCTTTAAAAAATCCACGCCTTGTATAAGCCTTGAAAAAATATTCTTTAAAAAATCCACGCCTTGTATAAGCCTTGAAAAAATATTCTTTAAAAAATCCACGCCTTGTATAAGCCTTGAAAAAATATTCTTTAAAAAATCCACGCCTTGTATAAGCCTTGAAAAAATATTCTTTAAAAAATCCACGCCTTGTATAAGCCTTGAAAAAATATTCTTTAAAAAATCCACGCCTTGTATAAGCCTTGAAAAAATATTCTTTAAAAAATCCACGCCTTGTATAAGCCTTGAAAAAATATTCTTTAAAAAATCCACGCCTTGTATAAGCCTTGAAAAAATATTCTTTAAAAAATCCACGCCTTGTATAAGCCTTGAAAAAATATTCTTTAAAAAATCCACGCCTTGTATAAGCCTTGAAAAAATATTCTTTAAAAAATCCACGCCTTGTATAAGCCTTGAAAAAATATTCTTTAAAAAATCCACGCCTTGTATAAGCCTTGAAAAAATATTCTTTAAAAAATCCACGCCTTGTATAAGCCTTGAAAAAATATTCTTTAAAAAATCCACGCCTTGTATAAGCCTTGAAAAAATATTCTTTAAAAAATCCACGCCTTGTATAAGCCTTGAAAAAATATTCTTTAAAAAATCCACGCCTTGTATAAGCCTTGAAAAAATATTCTTTAAAAAATCCACGCCTTGTATAAGCCTTGAAAAAATATTCTTTAAAAAATCCACGCCTTGTATAAGCCTTGAAAAAATATTCTTTAAAAAATCCACGCCTTGTATAAGCCTTGAAAAAATATTCTTTAAAAAATCCACGCCTTGTATAAGCCTTGAAAAAATATTCTTTAAAAAATCCACGCCTTGTATAAGCCTTGAAAAAATATTCTTTAAAAAATCCACGCCTTGTATAAGCCTTGAAAAAATATTCTTTAAAAAATCCACGCCTTGTATAAGCCTTGAAAAAATATTCTTTAAAAAATCCACGCCTTGTATAAGCCTTGAAAAAATATTCTTTAAAAAATCCACGCCTTGTATAAGCCTTGAAAAAATATTCTTTAAAAAATCCACGCCTTGTATAAGCCTTGAAAAAATATTCTTTAAAAAATCCACGCCTTGTATAAGCCTTGAAAAAATATTCTTTAAAAAATCCACGCCTTGTATAAGCCTTGAAAAAATATTCTTTAAAAAATCCACGCCTTGTATAAGCCTTGAAAAAATATTCTTTAAAAAATCCACGCCTTGTATAAGCCTTGAAAAAATATTCTTTAAAAAATCCACGCCTTGTATAAGCCTTGAAAAAATATTCTTTAAGAAAACCACGCCTTGTATAAGCCTTAAAAAAATATTCTTTAAAAAATCCACGCCTTGTATAAGCCTTGAAAAAATATTCTTTAAGAAATCCACGCCTTGTATAAGCCTTAAAAAAATATTCTTTAAAAAATCCACGCCTTGTATAAGCTTTGAAAAAATATTCTTTAAAAAAATCCACGCATTGTATAGGTCTTGAAAAAATATTAGTTAAAAATCCACTCCTTGTAAAGGTCTTGTGAAAATATTCTTTAAAAAATCCACACTTTGGGTTATTTCTCCTGGGATTTCATTCAGATTAGACCCGTACGGATATAGAAAACAAAAAAATCACAAAAACTATTACCGAAAGAATCGGAAGGTAGAGGTTGTAAGTCGTGGAAAACACAACAAATTATGATTGTTATTAATTATTTTTTACTACTTGAGTAAACAAATGATAAGCTAACAGTTAATTTTTATCGATTTTTTTTAATTCAACAAAAAATCGGTATGTACATCTCAGACTTTCTAAACAAAGCGATAGTCCGTCCGTCCATCCATACAATCGGATAATAAAATCTTGTTTGATAAGATCCGTTTCTAGAGCTCTCTTCTCGAAGTGTGGTGAGTGACCCATAAACATTTGCCGGCAATCTTATTATCGCAATTTTTGTAATTCGTTCAATTCAATATTGTACTTGAATTGAACGAGAAGCCAGTCATTCAATTCAGTCGTTAGTGAATAGCCGACCGAATCGCAAGATGAAATACAAACTTTTTATTTTGGGTTCAATTTTATTTGTACTGCTGAGTACTTGGTGTGGAAAAAATGAAGACGATTCGCTGGTCGTTGAAATTGAAAATGGCCGTTTGAGAGGTAAAGACAAGGGCTTCTACTACAGCTATGAATCCATACCATATGCTGAGGCACCTACAGGGGCTTTGAGATTTGAGGCACCACAACCATATGGACAGAAGTGGCAAGAAGAGTTTGATGCTACGGTACCACCCAAACCCTGTTTACAATGGAATCAATTTGAAGAGGGTGAATCCAAGTTGGATGGCGTCGAAGACTGCCTGACGGTAAATGTTTACAAACCCAAGACGGGCAAGAAACAATATCCGGTAATGGTTTATATTCATGGTGGCTGCTTCATGTTTGGGGATGTCAATTTCTACGAACAAGACAACATTATGCGTGATGGTAATATGATTTTGGTAAAGGTTGTCTACCGCCTGGGCCCCTTGGGTTTCTTGAGTACCGAAGATGAGGCCATAGCTGGGAACTTTGGTTTGAAAGATCAACAATTGGCCCTCAAATGGATACAGAAAAATATTGCCAGTTTTGGTGGTGATCCCAGTAAGGTCCTGCTAACAGGCTTCTCAGCTGGTGGTGCCTCAACCCACTACCACATTCTCAATTCAGAGAGTAAGGATTTAATCAAAACCGCCGTCTCCTTCAGCGGAGTGGCCTTGAATCCCTGGGCCATTAGCAAAACTGCCCGCAAAAATGCCCTGAAAGTTGCCAAGCTATTGAAATGCCCCAATCTGGAAAATACCCAAGAAATTAAGAAATGTCTACAAAAGAAACCTGCCCGTGATATTGTCTCAACCGTTAAAGAATTCCTCAATTTTGGTTATAATCCATTTACCACCTTCGGTCCCGTAGTAGAACATCCCAAAGTCGCCCAACCTTTCCTCACAAAACAACCCCGAGATATTATTAAATCTGGTGAATATACAAAGGTACCCTATTTGGTCACCTATACCTCAGAGGATGGTGGCTACAATGCCGCCGAGCTGTTGCAAGTGAATCCGAAAACTGGCAAAGAATTTATTTACGATCTTAATGAACATTGGCAGGAATTGGCTCCACAAAATCTATTTTTGAGTAGTATGTCCGATCGGCCAGAGGAATATGCAAGAGAATTGCGCCAAAAATATCTAGGAGATTTAGAATTTTCCGTCGAAAATTATTGGCAGGTACAAAAATTATATACGGATGTTCTGTTTAGACTTGGCTTGTTGGAAACAATGAAATTGCATAGTGCCAAATCGGATATTCCAATTTATGGTTATGTCTACGATAATCCGGCTGATTATTGTGCCGGTGCTGCTCTAGCGGAAAGGAATGATGTTAAATTTGGTAAGTTGGAAAATTTGATTTAAAATGTTTCAAAAGAAAATATCCACTGAGGTCCCCATTTTTCAAAATGAAGCAAATATATAAAATATTCTTTAAGAATCCACGCTTATTGGTATAAAGGATCGTAAAAAATGGTATTAAAAATCCACCATTGTGATATAAAGGTGCTTAAAAAGTTTTCTTTAGAAATCCACGCTTACCTTAAAAATCCACTTTATTAATATAAAGGTCCTTAAAAAGTTTTCTTTAAAAATCCACGCTTATTGGTCGGCTGGTCACTAAACAAAACATTCCTCAAAAATTCAGCTTATTGGTCGGCTGGTCCTTAAAAAATATTATTTAAGAATCCACGCTTATTGGTAGGCTGGTTCTTGGAAAAATATATATATTTTTTAAATCCATCTCTTAGCGGAGAGTATAAAAGATCAACATTACTTGGGGATTACGCTTTGTTTGGATGTATCTATAATACGATAAGTTTATTGATTATATGCCCTCTTTTTCTTTTAGGTACAAATCATTTAGATGATATATCCTTAATCCTCAACTATCCCATACGCAGCCCACCACGTCCCGATGAAGTAATCATCTCTCAAAAATTCATCAAAATGTTGGTGAATTTTGTGGAAACAGAGTGAGTATATAATATACAGTATTTTCATAAGATCAAAATAATAACCCACCCCCTTCTCTTTCTCATTTTTATTAGACAACTTACATTTGGTGATTGTGAATTTGTGAAAAACACCAAGGAGAGCAAACAACTGAAACTGATGTCCATAACCAAGGATGATTGTAAGCCTATTGTTCCCTAGAAGTGGAGAAGAGACAGCAGATCTCATTGATTTTATAGTCTAAATTATAGAGAAATGCATTTTTTGTACATTTTTTTTTTATAAAATTAAAAATTGAAAACCAAGATCTTGTGTTCTATTTTTTTCTTAGTTTAATTTTGACTTACTTATTATCAAAAGACGTATTATTAAACATTTGTTTGTCATTGCAAGATGTGAATTGGGTTCACCAATGTTGACCCCAATAAATAAAAATCGCATAATATTTTTCATTTTGTATTTATAATATATTTTCTGATTATTTTGTAGTTTTAGTTTGATAACAAATGAACATGACTTTCAAAAACAATAGTAATTCAAAGTCAAGTTAAAAATGTCAAACTGTGGTAGAGTATTTAGCGCTATACCCGGCTTAGGGAGAATATTTTGGGATTACTTGCGGTCAGCTTATAGTTCGCAATATTTAAAAAATCGTCGTTATGTTCCGCACCCACCAAGGTAGACATTTAAAATAACTGGAATCGTTCGGGATTTGTATATATGGCTAACTGTCATGGTAAATTTTTGATAGAAATATTGGACATCTAATGAGAGCCATTTCGATTAATAAACAAAATAAAATATGTTACAATTTCGATAATACTTGCCAGGAATATGTGATATAATAATGAAAATTCAAAATGCCGTACTACAGCCAATTCTGTACTTGTACTTTCTTATTATTTTTAAAATTCACTAAGGCAGTATGGGTATTAATTGAAATAGTTTGAAGTCCTTATTACAAAAATTTTGTTTCATTATCGAAATCCATACTTCCTGAGATATGGGTCACCATTGTCATATTAAAGGATAAGGACAGAAACTAAATGTACTGGGACACAATGTTTATACAGAGGAGATCCGTTTGCGTAGCCGGAGTGGCAATCTTTCCCATAGGAGAATGTCGCTAATTACCTAATTACTGAAATACTATACGAATTAAAAGGAGATCCTGTCCGGAGGCCGGAGTTACAATCATTCCATAGCATAAAGCTTTAAATTGTCTGCCGAAGTCCGGCCAAATTTAAATACTATTCTAATTAAAATGAGATTCCGTTGCATAGCCGCAGTTGCCACCTGTCTCAGAACTATTTCTAATTAAAATGATAAAGTCTCAGAAAATACAGTATTTTTCGGTTAATTGCACATCAAAATTTGCACAAATTTTCGTTCAATTAACCAATTATCCGAACCCGCTTAATTGAATAGTTTGTTCAATTACAGTAATCAAGTATAATTGGAACTACTGATTTAAAAAAAAAATCCAATGTCAAATACAAATTACGCTTTCTCGAAGTTTTTCCTTAGCAATAAACATATGTTTTGAATTAGTAGAGATGCCACCTAGTCTTTTTCACAAATTATGTCAAATATGTATGTAAAAAAATGGCAGATTATTTTTCAATTATTATTGTGCAATTAACCGGTGAAAAGTAAAAGGAAATTTATTTTTGATGACATGAATTTTGAACCAATTAAGCGGGAAAATCAATTAACAGGGTTTAATTATCCGAGAAAATTTACATGTGTTTTCCTATGAAATATTTTTTGCCCTATCATGTGGTTCAATTAAGCGTGGAAACCAATTAACCGTGGGGTCAATTAACCGAAAAATACTGTATTGACTTTTTGGATACGATAATTACATTTTAGCAACTTGCATTTCTACTGCTTTTAACTAATACCCATATTGTTATTAAGAATTTTAAAAGTGTTCCTGCGAAATTTTTGAGGACCATATGGACTTCTTCGATAAGTAATTAAATTTTTGTAATCAGAACTTGAAACACATTAAGATGACACCAATATTCGCTTAATGAATTTTAAAAATCAGGGAAAATATAAGTTTCCAAACAGACTTTTAGATTCCCATATCTGCGGAAAAACGGTTTCTGTACGAACAAATTTATATGATTGTCATCAGGGCTAAAAGAATAACCTATGGTAAAAACGGATCCGTTACCGGGTACTAAGCTAGACTTGGTCCGCATTTTCCAGCAGAAATGAATGTTATTCAGTATTTCAGATTTTTTGTTTGATAAACTTTCTAGGTGCCTTTCCAGGTTCTTATTGAGTAAACAACTTCTTTACAGAAAATTTTAAATAATTTTATTTTTTTGACATAACATCCACATAAGGTTACGTATTATTTTAATACGTTAAAATTCTAGTCACATTTCCCCACTTATAATTTCTAATATCAGTATTGTGTCCCTGTTTTGGCATAATCCTCTAAAAAGGTTTCTGACCTGAGTAGGAATTTAATTTTAACTTATGTTTTACCTGATGCATAGATTTCTTTTAATTTTTTAAGCGTTAAATTTTTGAATATAAATTTTCGAGATTTATTTAAAGTGATTTTTGTTGTCATTGAACTTACCTTCGTTAAGTTTTGCTTAGTTTATATAACAGTGTTTTTATTGAGAGAAAAATTGATTGTTTTTTTTTTTAATTTAGTTATCAGTGCTTCGTTCTGTAAATTCAATAGAAAATAATTAAATTACAAAATATTTTCATTACAAAACTAAATAAATGAATTACCAATTCTAATTTGTAAATTCCGTTCTTCATTAAAATAACCTTCTTTATTCTTCTTACTCTCCCATCATATTTTCACACTTAATTGTACTGGTTGTTGTATTGTCATTGTTGTTATTTTTACTTTCATACAATTCAATTTTGCTGTCCAAAAACCGAAAATCATTTAATATCGACAGCCAATTACTATAGCCAGCTATGGACATAAAACGTTCCGGCTCCGTTTTCCATACAGCCGAATATACTGCCGTGTTTTCTGTTTTTATGTCAGCCCGTAATTTACCATTCATGGCGTAGAATTGGGCATTGGTGTGTTCCCCACCAACAAATACCATATCTTCGACAAAATCACAAACGTGAACCTTGCCGGGAAATGGAAAATCACTTGTACACTCCATGGAACGTAAATGCCAGAGAGATAATTTGGGTCCACCACCACACAGTAGCCAATCATCGTTGGTCGCCAATGCACCTTGCCATTTTCCCATTTCAGGCCGGGCCAATGTATCCTTTTTGTATGGTTCAATGAGGCCGGTGGAATCTTTTTGATTTGTCACCCACATACGAATCGTGCCATCTTCAGAGGCAGAATATAATCGATCAGCACCCGAACCGCATACACCATGTATGTAATCTTCGTGGCCCTTAAAACTGCGCGATATACGGCCATCTTCTAAGTTTAGTTCATAAATGATATTATCACCGCAACCAACATAAAGGAAATCTGTTTCGGGACGCAACCACATAAAATTGACATCTGGAACCTCAATGGCCTCCACATCAATGGGAATCTTAATTTCCCATGCCCGACCAGTGGCCAATTCAGCCTTATCTTCAACCCATTTCAAACCATACACCACACCAATCGAACCCACAATCAGGAACTCTCGATGAAAACTTAAACAATTGATTTCACATTCCTCCCCCTGGGGGTATATTTTTAAAGATGGTCGCAATTCTTCGGAATTTTGGAAATTGGTAATGCTGTGAAATATTATTTAAATTAATAACAAATATTAATTTTGTTTTGTATACAAATCATGCTTACTTTTGTACAAAAATATCTCCTGCCCGATTACCGGCAAACAGAAACCTGCCCGATGTTGATATGGTCTGGGCACAAACACAATTATAAAAACGTTTTATATTGTAATCCTCGAAGGGATCTCTCAGGGGCAGCAATGGGGACATCTTTTGTGTATTATTAAATTCTTGGTTCTTCCGTAAAAGCCCAACTTGTTTCTTCTAAATATACACCAAACGATCAAGGAGTTCACAAAGTAAATGCCGCTGCTGTTGTTTACGCTGCCACTCACTGTGAATTGATAACACAGCTGTTATGAGATTAACATTCTTAATCAAGGTAACAAGGCAATACATCAATTTCGAACAAAATTTTAATTATTTCATACCCATGATACAATTATACAAGGTAGGGTATCTCTTGTCAACAAATATTTTTCAAAACATTACACACATAGTCACACATTTGGTCTGTTCCCGTACTGCAAGAATCTACTCGATTTTACTATTTTCTTCGATATCATAAAGGAAAAAAGTGTTATCGGAGTAAAAAGTAGTAGATTCTTACAGTACGGGAACAGACCATTGATATAACAAGCCATAATATGAAAAAATTGTAATCCGATTATACGTTTCTAATATACCCTTTAAAAAGTAGAATAATAAATAAAAATTTTTTATACAATTTCGGGGTCAAATTTGCTGTAATTTGTTTGTTTCTGTACACATGTCAAATTTAAATAAATCGATTAGAATTACATTTTTGCAGGTTCTGATACTGATCAAATAATATATGGTAAAGTTACTCCATCGGTAGCCCTATGATGCTTGACTAAAATCCTTGTATATGTTTCCCCCTTAAAGGGCTAAATAGAATGGCTGCGTTGTGTTATTCTACGCGTTGCAGTTTCACATTTTTTAACTTTTGAAGCGTAAACGCACGACTTGAACCAACGCTCAACGGATGCAATCTGCTTAAGGCTTTGTCAGACGAGCCATCAATGTCATATTTGCTGTTAGTTTTTCTGTATATACGACATTCTGTATGTATGTCAAAATTGTTTTGTATGTATGTCAAAAATTGGAATATAAAAATTCGCTGTTTTGGCAAGAAGAATCGATATAGTAGCAACACTGCTTTAATTTGCGACATCAACTTGATATGTCAAGAATCGATCTATAAATCCCTAATATCAAGCCTGGCAAAGACAGAAAAGTCTACGTCTTTGAGCCGAGTGCTTCATTTATTGACATTTTTAATTCATACAGAAGACGCGCAAAAAGCGGGAAATAGATGAATTGAAAGGACTTTTACAACAAATTATAAAATTTAAATCAAATAAAATATAATAAATAAGTTATCAAAATCAAAAGTTTCAACAATGGATGAAAATGTAAGTTGCTTTTATTTAAATTTGTACGAGAGAAGATATAATCATGCTGTTTCCTGTCTCCACCAGATAACAATGTTTATGGATATAAATGGACAGCGTCATTTTCTTGAAGTGGGCCAGTTGTATTTGTTTGGTAAGCTTTTGCCACCCAATGACAGCCACAATAATGTCTTCCATATTGAGCATGAAGTAAGATCTTAAATAAATAATTTTTGGTAAAGTTATTAATTTGTTTTCGTTTGTAAACAGGATGTGGACGAGAAACACTGTTGTGTCGAAGTCTCTTCGCCAGAAGATGTTAAACTTTATGATCTATTTAGCTCTAAGGGAACTTACCTAAATGGTAAACGCTTAATGCCCCTTACAAAGTTGGCTGTAAAATCGGGTGATGTCATAAAATTGGGCCAATATCAATGTCTACGATTTTATAACGATGAACAGCTGGAAGTTGTGAGCTTTATAAATTTCACTTATTAATGTAAAGTATATATGTAATGGTTTTCTTTTTGATTTACAGTCCCATGACAGCAGTGGTTTTGGTGACAATAATAAAAACACGTCCGACATAATTGCCTCAAGTCCTGAGACATCAGCGCATAGATTAAAACGAGTAAACAATAATAATTCTGATAATTTCCTGGTGCCAGCAATACCATCCAACACTACAAAATCATCAGTCTCTGCAGTAACAAAGTCACAATCTTCCAGATTAAGTAATAGTTTTGTTGTACCAGAAACAGAAGCAGTTCTCTCAAATAGTCGTCGTAGTTCACTGGGATTCAATACATCAAATAATAAAAGTCGAAACAGTGATAGTTTCATTATACCCGAAACACAATATTGCAGTGGTGGTGGACGGGCATCATTGGCTTCAAATCTTTCCATTGCTGAGAGTACAACCTCGGAAGGTGATAAAACCCGTATGGAAGGAAACTTTAATAATTCCACGGGTGATGATGATTTTTGTATACCAGAAACCCAGGAATTTGTATGTTCACAAAGGCCACGTCCATTTAAGGAAAAAATGACCACCCTTGAAGAGAAATCAGTGGACTTGAATGATTCCGATGATGAGGGTATAAATGGCATAAATGGCAGTGACAGTCAAATACGAATTTGCACCCAAGATTACAATGATGGTTTTGGCGAAGAAGACAATTCACTGATGCAGTCACAAGTTATACCCCTTATTAAACACAATACAGTATTATTGAATACAACTGCAGCCAATCCGCCTAGACAGGAATTAAGTCCTGACAAAGAGCACACTACAGAGGAAGATAATGAGGTGGCCAATATTAATTCGGATGTGGTTGAAAATGAAGTCAATCCCCAAATCAACGATGATTTAAATTGTTCAACACCTGATCTCTTTGATTGTCAAGCTTTAGAAGCCATTGTCAATGAGAATAATCAAGCTGTTACTGCTTTAATGAATGATGGGGTAAATATTTTTGAAAACGATCCTCCAACCACATCGGCTGCTGGTGGTGGTATGGAGGATGAAGAAGACTATTTGGCGACTCAAATGTTTCCAGCTTCAAGCAATTCCTCGAACAAGTCTAGCAACAATGCCATGGTAGATAAAACCGATAAAAAGTCAAAGGAAAAGAATATTTTTGATGGTAACGATGATGAAGCGTTAACACTTAGTGACAAGGAGAACATGCAACCGGACAAATTAGATCCCATATCTGATTTACCACCCACTCAGCTATTTGCCAGTAATGGTGGTAAGGAAATATGTGAAATATAATTATTTTCAAATAAAAATTAAATGTTCATGTTTTTGCAGCTTCTTCGGAACATTCCTCAACTTCTACGTCATCGTCACGTAAAAGTAATACACATAAAATAGAGGATAAACAAACAAAACAAGTCCCAATTGGAGTTGTTAAACCCTCATCAAATGTTAGTCAAAAACAAATAGATGAGGATGTATTAGCAGAACCACCAGCAGACAATGTTATGGGTGATGATGAAGATGATATACTAACCCAAGCGTTTGTACCACCACCCAGAATAACAAAATGTACAACAACTTCAATTGGATCAAGCATAAAAGCCACAAATAATTGTTTCAATTCCACCTTATTGGAAGATAAAAACTTGGATAGAAATCCGGCTGCTTTCTTCGCCGAAGTTGAAACAAGTCCAAAGGGATTAGAAAAATCCATTAGCAATACAAAAGCCTTCAAAATGCCCGAGCGAAATGTGTCCACGGTTAAGAAAACATCTTCGGCTGTCAGTACCGCATCCACAGAATCGGATATGGATTTATTAATGTGTACACCACAATTCATTAAAGAACACATACCATTTTCTAAATCCGATGATTTAAGGAAAAGTATTTTGGCTGTTAAAAACAAAAATCTATTTGGTGATGATGATGAAGATGACGATAAGGAAGATTCTGATAAGGATGTATGTTTAGTACAATTAATAAATGTGCCTAAAAATACCAATGATTTTGATAAACTATTGCCACATTTGAAACAAGGGACTGACAATGAAAAGAAATCTCAGCTGACAAAGGAACAAAAGGCGGCCTTGGAAGCCCGAAAAGAGTACAAATTTAATGCATCCTTTGGTGAGGAACAAAATTCCAAAAAAGATGGGAAAACAAGTTCGTCTACTCTGAGCCGTGATGAAAGACATGCGGCCAGAGATCGTGAAAAAGAGGATAAGCGAAAATCCCATAATGGGGAAAAGGCTAAAGGATCTACTCGCCACAAGAAAAAAGATGAAGCTTCTTCTGGCATTTCCAAAAAGGAGAGAGAAAATGCCATTGACAATAAGAAAACCACAAATGAAAAAGATGAAAAAACTTCAGCGGAAGAATTGCCATCGACTTCAAAGAAAACGGAAACGAAACGCAGTAGTCGTAAAACCAAGGATGAAAAAGAAGAAAATAAACCCATAGCGAAGAGACAAACACGATCAGCACAGCAGGATACAGCATCGTCGAAAGATGAAGAAATTACTGTTGTCAATCAGGCCAACTCCCGGCCATCACGACGCAATACAAGACTCCAGTCGTCAGAAATGCTAGTCGAAAAGGAAACAAAAGTGCCAGCTAGACGCAATACTAGACTTAAGTCGAAAGAAACACAGTCAAGTAAAGATAGCGTTATGACAACAGACGATTTGGATTCGGTATCTACCCAGCCATGTAAGTAATTACATTTCTACACATCAAGATAAAATTTAATCATTTAAAAAAAAAATGACTAGAACAGGTGTTGATATTTGAAAACGAAACTTTACACATTTCATATTAAAAAAAATCTAAAAATATTTGTTCAAAATATGTTTTTTTTTTTAATTTTTAATATTTTTTCGAAGAAATACTCAGTGATGGTTTTATAAAAATATATTTTCGTAACGTTGACATAAATATATGGCGATTTAAAAAGTGAATCGTGAATATTTTGATTTTACATTTGTTTTTCAAACTCATCAAATTTTATGTTTTTGTTTTCATTCTTTTAGTCATACGCCACACGCGTGCCCGAACACGTTCACGTTCTCAGCAGAAAGATTCAAATGAAGCTATGGAAAAATCTTCAAATTCATCAACTTCTACAGTGCCTCGCGTAAATCTAAATTCGAGCAGAACGCTAAATCATAGCAATAGCAGAATGAATACATCCTCTTTAAATAATATTGAAAATAACATTTCAGCTGGTCGTAAGCGTAAATCCGAATTAACGGCACCGCAACAAATTGACGAAAAGAAACGATTGAAACGAGTCGTAAGTATTGAACGAAATCAATAAAATTAAGATAGATTTAAGAAGTTTTGTTTTTCTTTCTCTCTTTTATTTTGGTTTATTTCGTTTAGAATTACGATTGAATACAATTGGTGTTGGTGTTTTCAAAATAACCGTTATCATTATAATGAATTATTTTTTGTTTTGGTTATTTTATTTTTTTGTTGAAATATTTTTTGTTTTATTTTTGTTTTTTTTCGCAATAAATTAGAGACATACTGTATAAACATGTATTTTATATGTTAAACCAAAGCATGGGATGAATTATTATTATTATTTGCAAATATTAATAATTACGATTTTGGCCTTTTATAGAACTCTCAAGATTCCACAACATCCTCAGCTACCTCTACGTCGTTAAGTGTTTCCCCAAGACCGTTAATTTCCATAACAATGGTTGATCCTGAGCGTTTCGAGAAATTACAATCTAAATCAAATGGTTTGTAAAAGGAGATAAACAATTTGAAAAAAAAAACCTTTAAAAATTTTCGTGTTTTCCTTTGCAGGTTTATGGGCTGTGGCCAAAGATCCCAAAGAAAGTCAAATTTTAGTAATGGACAAAACATTCCGTACCTTTAAATTCCTATTGGCTATGGCGCGCGGAATACCCATTGTAACATCACAATGGCTCAACGACATAAATACAGCCAAATCAATTAAAAAAGTTCCTCCCTTGAATAAATATTTACTAAATGATCCTGGCTTTGAGAAAAAACACAAATTCACACTGGAAACGTCACTTCAATTGGCCAGAGAAAATAAACAGGGCCTATTTCATGGTTATGAATTTGTAATGACTACAAATATTAAACCAACACCAGCTGAATTGAAAGGTGAGTACATTATTTTATTGAATTTAGAATATTTTAGAATATGTTTTAAAGACAACTCAAGAATGAATATTTTAAAAATTGTGTAAGTAAAAATATGTACATACTATTAACTTCTCATCTTGAAAGGTCTTTCTTGTAAGAGTTGCTAGATCATATAATTCATTGTCTTTATATTTGAGATATTGCCATTTACTTCTCAAGACATACAGATGTAAACATATTAAAATAATTATTTTCATCTACTTTTAGCCATTATTGAAATTTCCGGTGGTATTGTCCACACCAAGAGTCCACCACCTGCTAAAGAAAATCAAAAAATTTATTTAATTTCTTGTAATGATGATCGCAAGGATTGGCATAAATTTAGACGGATAAATAAGAATATTACTATAATTACCACAGAGGCTATAATGTCGTCTATAATGCGTCAAAATTGTACACCATTGTCAAATCATGTATTGGTTTAAAAATTCTAATGTATTTTTTCGATATACAGTCGATTTCAGACATGGAAGTCAAATGTAATCGATTTGTCATTAACGGCATTTTATAAATTGTTTTATAATTCATATTTAATTACTGCTAAAATATCTGCTCACGTTTCCATCACTAAAATTTCTATAAAGTGTTGTGTTCTGTGAACGCTCGCTGGTGTAAATAATTATTTTTGTTTTATATTTCCATTCGAAAATTAAATATGGGAAATGTAATGAAATAAATACTATTATAAATGCTTACTTGATGAGCTATAATAATAATATTCTATCCTAATTATCCGATTTCGACTGTATACGCATATATAAATAATACTCTTTGATATATTTTTTTTCTTTATTTTTGTTGCAATCGAATATTGTTATTGAACCAGGAGTTCCGGTCTACGTTTTCTTTTTTGTTTTTGTACGTTTTTTGTCTATGTATCTCTATTAATTTTTGTAATTATATTCGAAATATCAAACATTTCGTATATCTGTAAAATATACAATTGATTAATAAAAACAAATAAATGATTTATATTTCGTGTTTTTTTTGTTGCTATAGGCATGTTGGTATAATTAAAAAAAAAAAACTTTTCTGAAAATATAAAAAACATAAAAAGTTAAAGTGTTTTAAGTCCATTTTAGGTTCTGATACAAATCATGGTTTTCTAGAAAAGTTTACTGTGTCCCGTGCACAAAAAAGGAAACAAAACGATATGTGCCAACTATAGAGGAATTAGTCAGGTGCATGCATCAGCTGATTAGTACAACTATAGAGGAATAAGTGTTCTCCCCATCGCATATAAAGTGCTATCCAGCGTGTAAACGATTGAAGCCAATGGTCAATGACATTATTGGACCACACCAATGCGGTTTCAGATCTAGCAAATCCACCATTGACCAGATTTTCACTCTGCGCCAAATCCTGAAAGAGACCCACGAAAAACACATCGACACATACAAACCTATTCGTCGACTATAAAGCCGCATTCGACAGCCATATACTTTCGGCATTCCTGCAAAATTAATACGGCTATGCAGGATAACTTTAAATGGCACAAGGTCAGCAGTTAAAGTCGGAAAGGACCTATCGGAGCCCTTCAATACCGAACCAGGATTCAGACAAGGTGACAGTTTGTCGTGTGATCTGTTTTAACATCCTGCTGGAAAAGTTCATACGAGACGCAAAGGTGAACAGAAATGGCACTCTGTACACCAAACCACGCATGTTACTTGCCTACGCCGATGACATCGATATAATGGGTCGAACATTTGGAGGGGTAACAGCCAACAAATTGAGAAGTTGTCTGCCAAAGTGGGTCTGGCAGTAAACGGCGAGAAGACCAAGCTGATGGTATCAACGCGCAAGACGCCCAGTTGGCTCGGACCAACTGTGGAACAGCTTCGATGTAGATAAAGATTTTATATTCCTTGGTACCGCCATAAATAAAACGAATGGCATCAGTTTTTAAATTCGGAGAAGGATTGTGCGAATGAATGAGAATGCCCCAACTCAAAAGGCATATAAAAGCGAGCCTACTGATGGTTCCCGCAGAAGGGGAAGGCCACGAATAAGATGGAAAGTCCAAATGGAAAACATCTTGAAAGGTGGTCTTTCAAATTGGAGGAGATGCGCACAAGACCGATGCGTTTAAAGATCTATTGCGGGCTATTTCATGATACATTTTTCTAAGATTTAACACCCCATGAGTACCAAATAAGAGGCCATTCGGCTAAAAAACGTTATATGGGACTATTCAAAAGATTTTTTTTATCAAATAGATGGAAAAAATCGCTGTTGCAAAAATAAATTTTCTGTAAAAAAAACATTTTGGCTACGTCGGTGTGCCCTATCATAGTATATATATCCTCATTACCATAACGCTGATACTATTGAAATCCATGTCTCTTTTGCTTAGTACACAATAATATGTGTCGAATAACTTTTAGTGCAAATACGCCAATTGTCTGCGGTTAAATACTTCTCAATGGCAACTTTGACAAAAAGTAATTAAAATTTGCAACAAAAATGTTTATGATGTTCAAAACTTTATTAAAGATTTATTTTTGTTATTGAAGACATAGGTTGTTGTAATACGCTAAATCACATTTCCAATGAACCATGGCTCAAGTAAAACTTGGAATTAGAATTTTTCTCGTAAATTATGGTATCCGAAATGTTTATTACAATAACATGATATTTGGTGATTTGCCAATGTGTGTAATTCCAAATAAATAGACCCATAGATTTGTGCATATTTTTCATTATTCTGTCAATTGAATGTATGAAGTTTTTAAATACATTTTTATTATTGTAATATAAGAAATTTGAAAAAATATGAGAAACTTCAGTTGCTCAAAATATTTGTATTTTGATTTTACAAAACTATGCCAAATCAGAGGTCTACAAATAATAATACTCTATGTATCGTATATTTACTTCATTTCGTCTGGACTCGCCTTAATTTCGTTTCGTTAAAATAATTTTTATTTTCTTTTACACCTTCAGTGTAATAATTTATTTATTTCCTTTATTGACTTGACTACGCAATTTGGATTTTTTTGTTCTATTATTTATTTGTATGTTATTTAAATTTAACAAACTAAGTTTATAGGTGTACTACTATAAACATTAATAATATGTATTTATTAAAATAGAAAAGAAAAAAACAAATGCTGCCATTTTTGGTTGTTAAATTTTAACAGAAATGACAAATAAAAAAAATTAATGCAAAGTTTTAAACAATGTTTAAAAAAAAGGTACAATCCTCTAAAAGGAAAGAAAGACATCAGCAACATCCCTAGAGGGTAAGGAAAGAGAGGGACATGTTGTTGTGATGGTCCATTCTTCAAAAATATAGCACACTTGTTTTTATGCATTTAATATTTTAATTTTTTTTTTTTTTTGGTTTTGGTTGTTTGCTTTGTTTAGTTGTTGTTGTGAAGTATTTATTATTCATTGCTATTGAAAACTTGTCTTAATTTAATTTCTTTAAGTATTTTTTTATTCTGTATAAATTTATCGTATTAATGGCAATGCTGGCGCTTCTCCAACGGCTGACATCGCAGATCCAGGTCCCAGCAGCACCTGTTTCTGTTGTGTCTTTTGCATTTCTTCCATTTGGGCACGTTCTGTCTCGAATATGACTGGAGCAAAGAGTATTACCGAACTGGTAAAGAATATCCATGAGGCATTACACGAGAACTTGTACAGGCCCTTAATGCTGCTGGTTGTGAAATTGACAAGGCCACCAGTGAAATCCCTCAGAGGTTGTGGGAACATTTCGGCAAGACCCATGATGCGTTCGCCCAATGTCTCATCAGGTTCCTGTGTGTTAAAAAAGGTATAGATACAGTTGTTAATGGAAAATTGAAAATGTTTTGTTTTTCTTATTTAATAAACAATAAGAGTGTAATTAATAAACAATAAGAGTGTAATGGTAAAGGGTATGAAATTGTTCAACAGCAAAATAATTTGATCTGTTCCCGTACTGCAAGAATTGAACATGTTCTGCCAATTGGTATTTTATACTCCTAAACTTCGAAATGAACAAATAAAAAAGGGTTAGTGTTGCCGACAGATATATACCCCAGCCTATGATTTGTGGTCTATGGAATTACTTAACACTGGTTTTTATAAGGTATATGATTTTATCAAATAGCTGATCATCTGCTGTGGAGAGGTATGAGAAGAGGTTGCTCTACACAAATATATGTTTGAATCTTTGTGGAGGAGGCAACAGGATTGGATCAATGTGTCTCATCTTTTAAAAAAATATGATTGGTAATAGTGTAATAATTTGTAAAAATTGTATAAAACAGATTTTCCATACGCTTCGCATTGAATAAAAAATTTTCAAAACATTGACATTTTGTGGGAGAGGCACTGGAAGGAGTAGACCGATGGATCCCACCTTCGGACTTGATCTAGCCAAGGTAAAAAAATTGGGTCAAATAGGATAGATATTTGATAAACAAATTATTAAGATTTTGATTTGTGGAGGAAGGAGTGGACTGACGGATGCCATCTTCGGGCATGATCTAGATATTGTGAAAAAATTGCGATGTGTAATCAGACATTCCATTCGATTGATGGTTTAACTAATTATCAAAATGCTGACATTTGTAAGGGAGGTACCAGAAGAAGTGGACCGATTGGATCTCATCTTACGATGTGTAAAGTGTGGGATAAATCGGGCATTCCCATTGTTTGACATTAAATTTTAGACACTTTGTAAGGGAGGTACCGGAAGGTGGGGACCGATATTCCCCATCTTCGAACATGATTTAAGTTTGGAAGAAATATTAGGATTAAAAATTGAATACCTCTTCTAACGCTCTGGTACACCTAAAGAAAATTTTGAGCGTTTTATCCAACAAAGCGTTATTGGTTTTTCAGTCCTGAACTCCTGAATTTTGTATAGATTTTACATTAATAATTCTAATAATTCATTTTAAAAGCAATCTCGGTAGAAATCAAACCCAATGTTACCAATTAAAAACAAAATGTTCAAAAAAATAAATAAATTATAAGTTCCCTCACTATCTCTAACATTACACAGATATAAACAATGTTGTTGGGACAAAAAATACTAACATAGCGCCGCGACACAGAGAATGCTGCAGCTGGCTATTACGCAAAATGAGGTTATGTACAAGCAATATATTAAAACAAAAAAAAAATACAAATAAAAAAAAATATTTAAAATAATTTATGAAACTTCTTAAAATATAACAAAATTATTGATTGTCATTAACTTACATCATCATAATTTTCCTCTGTTACAGCTGGATCATTAGTCTGGAATAGGCAAAAGAAATAAATATTGTAAATTATCGAAAGAAAAACACAGAAAAGTGTGGGGTGAGTGATTAAGGTCGACATTCGAAATTATTCTTACAGTGGCCACTGTTTTTCTTTCGGGAGTTTCATCTTTGCTACCGCCTAACGACGACATGCCGCTGTCCTTTTCAATAAACTCGATATCGGGATCGGAGTCCACTAAATCTTCAATCTTTACGTTATCCACTTTGGCTGTTTGTATTGTGTCACAAAGACACCCGGAAAATCAATAAAAAAAACACTTTTCTTTTCGTCGCCTTCGAAGAGCTCACAAAGTGTCAGCTTTGGTGAGCACAAATTCGTTTCGAATGACACAAACACGCACGCACACACACAACTATGTCCAATTGGATATGTTTTTCTTTTATTATTCTTTGTTCTTTCAATAAGTCCAATTAAAAAATATTCCTTTTTTTCTTTTTTCTACGGAATATTTTATTTTTTGCGCAACACGCACACTACAACTTTTTCTCTATAGTATTCCTACAAAAAGAAGCTGACAGCTGTGAAACACTCGAGAGTGGAAAAACAATCACATGCGATTGCAAATGACAGATGCTAAATTATGAGAGCGTAACTAAACATGGGCGCGTGGACGCGTATGGCGTAATGGGTGAATTGGACATTATTGTCGTTAATATTGGAATTTGTTGTCGTTGTCATCATGGTTGTAATGTGTCTCTGACGTTTTTCTGTGAGAGGTGGCGTTGAGGTAAACAAGCGTGTGCTTTTTTCAGTGGACATTATTGTGATATATATATTTTTTTGGACTAGAATTTTTTTATTAATTTGACCGGCAAAGGTATTGCAGATAAAGATATTGATGTGTTTGCAATATTTCTCTTGAAAAATGAATAGGTTTACGACAGATAACTGTTCAGTTATGATTGAAATTACAAACATTTAATTAATTTATCAGTTCCAATCTTTTTTAACCGGATAAGTTTGTCATATATTCAATTTGGCATACTCTGTGCTATCTCCTGAGGTAGGTAAATTGATTACATTCACTTTGGAACTGAAATTCATGTTATTTTGGGGTATATTGGCTTTCGAGAAAGAGGTAGTGAAATTAAAATCAGAATTCTCATATTATTACCATCAGAAAGATAGATTAAGTGATGATATCCTGAAAATCGATCTTTATGAAACTGAATAAAATGTTTGTTTTTTTATTTTCTTGAAAAAAGTACTCTTTTCTTAAAAAAGTACTCTTTTGGTACCTTTTCACATTTTAAATTTTCCATCCCTGTGTCTATTGCCCTGTGTTTTATGTTTGAGATATATACAAAAGATAAATACTGTGAAATTTTAGATAAATATACAGAGCTGCATTTTGTTACGCGGATTATAAAAAAACTTTAAGGTCATTTAGCAGTTCGTCTACGGACGGCTCACAGGAAGGACGCAACTAAAAAGTTAAAAAATAACATTTTACAAAATGGCTATTCATTAAGCCTTCGCTTAACTAACACGTGTTTATAAAATTAGACGAAATTCTTCGCATACGGATAACCTATCAAGTCACAAAACATCAACTAATTGAAGCTGAACTCGTTTTTTAAAGATTTTTAGGCATTGTCTACGAATGATATATGGTCCTATACCTCCTATACTAAATAGGAAGTTGACTAGTTGGAGGAGAAGTAAAGACCTTTTTAGATATAGCTTTTTATGGAATTTACATTTGAAATAGAGCGGATTTAGTAGTCTAAGTAGATTTAATAATATTTGGAAGGTTTTGAATTTTTGTCTTATAATTCCAATAACAAATATGCTCATTCAAATAAAAAAATGTATTTAATTAATTAAAACAGTTGATACGAACCTCATCACCAGCAAGTTTTCTTGGCATTTCTTGGAAATTGTGGACTTTTTGTAACAATTCCACTTCACTTTCTGGGCGGTACATAATCCCGCTTTTCTGCACAACTATGTATTTATTTTCCTTGGCTATTGGTATTTATGGATTCAATTTTTGAAAAATGAAATTTGGAAAAATTATGTAGGTATTTATTTTTCTATTATTTATTAATAAATGTAATTTCTTTTGACATTATGAAAATGTACATTAGGGTGGCTTAAATTACTAAACAAACAATGTTTTAATAAATTGGACATTCAAAGTACCAAAAATGTTATATGGAGGCTATGCCAAGGCTGTTCGAAGAAAACAAACACTCAGGTTGAAAAATTAAATTTGTTCCATGACCATACAGATTTTTGTACCTGGTAGAAAAAGTAATTTTAATAAAATACATTATTTCAATTCGTCTGGGAGGGATGTAGTTGCTGCTAAAAGTTTAGATAATTATTTTTCAAATTTTGGCTAAAAATAGTCAGGAGAAAAAAAATTATATCGCATGTGATTTATGAAAAAATTTCAACGGGCATATAAAAATATATATTTTGGGTTTATATGGTTACAAACAATTTATAAAAATAGTACATACTGACATATACATTAACAGTCCGGTATTTGAAATCAGATTATAAAAGAATGTCTAATATTGAAGGAAAAGAATAGATTATTGAAAAAAAATATGATGATACCATGCCATGAAAAATATATAAAAAATGTCATAGCGATCACCGCGAAATGTATGTCATTTAGTGTGGTAATGCAATTTTTCACACAAAAACCATTTTATTGCATTGGTATACATTTTAAATTATTTTTTTTTCAGAGTAAAAGTGGCGATTATAAAACTAGACAAATATAAAGTTTTGGTCCTCCCCCTTTCCTAAATATCCTCTGAATTCCATTGAGAACTATCGGTGTCGTCTTTGACCATAATCGGAATATTCATGTAAAATTTCATAGCTACCACCTCGAAATGAATGCCCGATAAATATTGACCGATTATCATGCAAAGGACCATGCTTATTCCATGGACAGATCCCTTTCTCCGTGTACAATTTAAAACCAGAACGGGGTTGCGCTAGAAGAGTGTTCCATTTTTGGGGCATTTTCGCGATTTCGTGTATTATTTGATCGTAGTTCCCAAATGTTGGCCATAATTCAATTCATACGCTATAAGCAATAATGGCGCCCAACGTAGGGCACTGTCTATCTTTAGCCTTTAGTGCGGGGTTCATTTTTAAAGAAATTACCTAATTGTTGGAAAAATTCCATTTATGTAGATCTGAATAGTCGTATAATGACGTGCAACTTGGAACACTTCTAGTTAATTTGCTACATTAGAATAGCGCCTAACTTGGGGCACTACCTTTTTGATTTAGGTTATTTTGTTGGAAAACAATCATTTTAAATAATGACAAATTTCAGAGCATATCGGATAAGCAAATCAGTTAGAAATTGCTGCATTTTCAATAGTGGCGGCCAACGCAGGATGAAAATAACTAAACATTATATTTAAGGTTGTCCGATTTCCGTCGAAGACAAATTAAGAAGTTTACATGGTCGGTCGGTTTAATTCATGATTAATTGGAAAATTTCATTGGGTTCTCAATGAGCCTTTGTATATTGAGATATACTTTTTGGAACATCCATCAATATCCTACGAGATTTTGTTGTCGGTATTTAAATTTGAAAAACAGACAAAAATGAAGTTTTTGATCCATTTCATTACCTAAAAATTATCGAGATGAATGGTCCATAACGGTGACCTTTATTGTGTTTATAAATTATAATATACAGACGGACGGACACACATGTCTAGATCGTCTCATTGTCAGATATGACAATGTTATTGGTGGGGTCTTGGACCAAAATTTCGTGGCATTACAAACTCTTGAAGGCCACACAAAGCTATAATACCTTTATAACACAGTTGGGAAGGGTCTAAATATGACAATTCGATTTAAAGTAGACGCATGAGTGGTGTCGTTAATTATACGCTCACCCTATTTTAAAAGTTTTCATTAAGTTAAGTTTTTATACCCTACACAACTTTGTTGTCAGGGTATTATAGCTTTGTGCAGCCCCAAAAGTTTGCAACGCCGCGAAATATATCCTAGAACCTTTAACTTATCGTCATACAAAAAAAACTGTGTGTCCGTCCGTCTGTCCATTATAATTTGTAAACACGATACAGGCATATCCATAACTGTACTAATCTTCACGAAATTTTGCATGTAGGGTGGGTTCTGGCCAATGAAAACCCCTATTGTTTTTGGGAAAGATCGGTTAATATTTAGTATGAAATTTCGACTTTCTAAATTTTTGTCTTTTTCTGGTCTCCAGAGGTCGCAATGTTGGCCCGTAAAACCTAAATTTTGCAAAATTATGGCCAAAGAATAAGCATGCCTGTTTTGATAAAGATTGGTCAATATTTAGCGGGTCAAATGGACCCTGACTTTTGTGTGAAAAATGACAAAATTTGTATTCTATAGCGTATATAGTTACCCCTGAAGGACATAGACCCGAGAAGTTTATATTATATCCAAGAGGAGTGGTTGACCTTTAAATTAACACCAATTATATTGTTGTATGTGCTCGGATGTGGGAGTTACACCTAAATATTTACAGGTATCTCCGTATTCGTATATTATGTAACCCATTATCATTATACGGTATATAAAATGTTCCATGAGGTTCCAGTTATGGTCAAGGACAACACCTATAATTTTCTGTGATGATCAGAAATAATTTTGGAAAAACTTATTTTTTTGTGTTATTTTCGAGTCGATCTATAGACCACAAGGGAATCTGGACAATAGCTGTACTGAATACTCGTAATATTCGGAAAATATGTCAGTGTGAGGAAGAGGTGCTGTTTACCTCTAATCGGGCAAGAGGATGCCATATCACGTGTGGCCCAGGCTTGAATATTTTTGAGTTCCGTGGTAGTTGTGTAGGGTAAGGTCTCCAACTTACCTTTTTATAATTTTTGTTTTTTTTTCAATTCGTTACAAAGAAATAAATGCAAATAAAACGCACGATAGTTTTTGTTTATTTTTATTATAAACATAATTTGTGGTTGCATTTTGTTGTTGTTGTTCTCAAAATATTTTTTTTGGTTACTAAAATAGGTTTTTGTTGTTGCTGTTATTCGTTATATATTTCTATTGTTGTTTCAATAAGTAGATTTTTTTAGTAGTTGTTCTGGATGTTTTTTTTTTTTTGCTGTCGTGGTTGGTTGCATGTCTATTTTTCTGATTATGTTGTTGTATAATTTTTCTTTTCTATTTGTTGTTGTTGTTTAATTGTAAATGTAACACCAAAGCAAATAAAATTATTTATGTTTTTTTTTGTTGGTTGGT